ATCAGGATGCAAACATTTATAAGCGTTTGTATGGAACACGCAACTGAAAAGCGAATATCTCTTGAAGACGTACAGAAAGTAAAATTGTGCAACTGCAGCTTGGTAGGCTATTATACCACGAGAAAAAACATGTATAGATCATAATAAAGTAAATGAATTTCATGTATACTTGCGAACGTTTATAATCTACCATTTGCCCCCGCAAAATTTCTAAGGATTTGTGTGACATTTAACGAAATAAAGCGAAATCATACTCAATAAACTACGAATGCCGACGCTGAAGACACGATGGCAAAAATGTGCAAGTGGATATCGTAAACACATAAGACAAATTAACTTACTTGCACTCGTATAGTCCTCGTAGACTAATTTTCATGTATACTTTCTCTGGTTGAAAACTGCACATAAACCCGATCGACAAATTTCCCTGCTGATCCCTCGATAAAATCCCTAAAAATTTCTGAGTTCAAAATGCGATATCTCCGCCAAATAAGCTCCAAATTTGTTTCAAAATCTATCGTTGGAAAGCTCATCCATCCCTCCTTTTGGTGGTATAACAATCATTGTAGACACCGGCCTTTATAGGGGCATGTGCATTGCTTTTTTACCGGAGTTTTACAGCTGTTTCAGGCTTTGAACATGAGCCCGCTAGAAACCCAAAACAAAGGACACCGGCCAGCGTCCAGTGCCATTCCCGCGGACTTTTTAAATATTTATCTGCGAAAAATATATATGCAAAAACTACAATGTCTGACAATCTGTCGTGGAAAGAAGAACTGCAAACAAAACTTTAAAATTCAAAAGAGTCATCACCTATACACTATATATTCGAACAACGGGCAGCTGGTTCATTTTGCTCAAGTGGCGCGACCTGAAGAATGCATTTACGGACGCATCCTTCATCGATCTTCTCCATCTGAACACTGTACACTTACCTTTTTCCATTCAACCTGAAGCAGAAAGAGTGGAAAATTGCCTAAGAGCCGTAGCTACGAAAGTATATGGCCAGGGGAAGGGGTTACGCGGAACCACAAGGGCCAATTTTCTTGAGAAGGAAAGGTCAATTAAGGTGTACCAACATGAGCTTGAGCATGGCAACAGTGTGATAAAAAATAGAGCAGCAAAATGCGAGGAAGAGAAAGAGCATCTGGAAGCGGAAATTCAAAGGCTTGAAAAACGATGCGAGGAACTCTTAGAAGAACTTCAGAGTGCTGAGGTTAGAATGCAGGACCTAGAGAATGAATCAGAGAAGGCAGTTGAAGAGAACAAACAGCTATCACAATACCTCGATTTCCTTGAGGACGTTATGATATGCACTAACTGCAGTGGAAACTTAAGAAACCATGGCCGACCTGTACACGAGGTTGGTAAACGCCAAGGGAACCGAAAGATAAAAGAAGTAAAAACCAGGGCTTCGATGGCCCTGTGGTTCTTGGAGTCATTTGGCTTAACACTTGAATCTGTCAAAGTCAAAGATAAGGATGGGAAAGCCACTGAACTTGGCTACGGAAAAGACAACGGAACATCATTTCATGATCTATCACAGGAA